TTGGTATTTGGTCAACTGGTCCGCTTGTTCGTGATTAGGTTCTTTATTGGAGCAATTTATTGGTTGGTATTTAGTCATTTGATCAATTTGTTCGTTGGTCGGATCTTCATTTGTTCAGTTTGTTGGCTTTTCATTTATTCATTGTTACAATTTAGATTGGCATTCGGTCAGTCTATCGGTTTGTTAGTTTTCATTTATTCTTTGGGAACATTTTTTGGTTACTATCTGGTCAGTTGATCAGTTTGTTGGTTAGTCGCTTCTTCATTGGAACAATTTATTGTTTGTTATTTGGTAATCTAATGCGATTGTTAGTTGGTTGTTTCGTTATTTTGTCAATGTGATGATTGGTCTTTGGTCAACTTCTCCGTTTGTTCGTGATTAGGTTCTTCATTGGAGCGATTTATTGGTTGGTATTTAGTCATTTGATCAATTTGTTCGTGATTAGGTTCTTCATTGTAACAATTGATTGGTTGTTATTTAGTCATTTGATCAATTTGTTAGTTGGTCGTCTCTTCATTTTCTCAGTTTGTTGGCCTTTCATTTATTCATTGTAACAATTTTGGGCTTGCAATTGGTCAGTCTATCCGTTTGTTAGTTTTCATTTATTCTTTGGGAACATTTTTTGGTTGCTATCTGCTCAGTTGATCAGTTTGTTGGTTAGTCGCTTCTTCATTGGGACAATTTGTTGTTTGTTATTTGGTAATCTAATGCGATTGTCAGTTGGTGGGTTCGCTATTTGCTCAATGTGTTGGTTGTTACTTGGTCATCTGGTCAGTTTGTTTTTGTGTAATTCTTGATTCGAATGATTTGTTAGTTGGTATTTTTAAGTTGTTCAATTTATTGGTTAGCCGATTGTTCATTTGGGCTATTTATATGTTGCTTGCTAGCCATTTGTTCATTTGTCCAGTTTTTTGCGTGGCTTTTGTCCAATTTGTCAATTTCTTTTTGGGTTATTTGTCAGTTTCCCGGTTAGTCGGCTGGTCTGTTGCTGAGCCTTTTGGGCATACGAGCCCGCCAGCCGAGAGTTTCTTATGGTTTCGGTGGGAGGATGGACAATTACGTCGTAAGGCACGTTTTCGCGAGTGAAATTCCAAATGACGTCTCTTCTTGACATTTGTCTTTCGGCGCCAGCAGCGATTGCTTTTCGTCCAGTTCAACACGTCGTAACACCTTTTGTCTCTCTTCCCCGGGCCACCGGTCATGCCCAGTTGCCGCCAATCACCACCTCGAGACCAACCACCCCGCCCTTCCTTCCTTCCTTCCTTCCGCACCAACCCACAGTCCGTCGTGTCGAGAGAGTGTCTCCTGCTCGCCGTGGTGCCGCCCTGTGCGGGACTCGAGCTCTCAGTCCGCTCCGTTGGCAGTCCAATAGAGCCGCAAGGTGAGTGCGTGGCCGCAAAACTTTGCTGGTCGTCAAGTCACCTGCCCACGCAAATTCTGCTTTGTTGGAGCCGAAGATGGACTCAGCGTCAGCTCAACTTTGCTGCTACGCAAATTGGGCAACCAGTTACCGAGTCCCACAGAATTCTGCAGAGTTGTGTTGTTCGCTTTTGAGTCATGTTGAGTTCCGTCATGAAGTGCCGAGTCCCGTCAAGTCCCAAACCGCTTTGCCTGGACCCGAGACGGGACTTGGCGGGGCCCGTGCACTCTATGTGTGTGTGTGTGTGTGTTTGTTGGGCACGCTCATCCCCAGACAGCCCGACAAGGAGAACAGCGACGTCCGCCAAAATTCGAGCTCCGGGTCTGTGAGTGTGTATTGTGGGCCCGAGTTTGTCAAATGCTGTCATCTCATACACGCAAACAGGCCTGAACTAAACATGTCTGAAGGTGTTGCCGAGGCCGTAAGACGAGTTGCAGAGGATCGTCTTAGGCTTTCGTCATCAAATGGGCTCAGTCGTTTGCGTCCGAGGCGGCAAGTCCATCATATTCTTCGAAAGGCGGTAACCAGGACAACTCTTCCGAGAGGGACCTTTGAGCGACTGATGCTTTTCGTCATTTTCAGTAATTCTTGAATAGAAAAAAAGCAAAGTGATAGCCTCGACAGGAATCTCACGAGCCCGTTTCGAATCGCGGCTGATGAGAAGAGCTCAGACGAGGCTGAAATTGCAATCCAACTCAGTCCTGTCCAGCCGGAAGACAGAATATTCTGGAAGTGTGCAATTCAATGGCATCTTGAAGCCTATGCATCTGAGTTTATAGGACAACACTACTATCCATCCTTAAGTAGTCAGCTCAGGGACAAAGATATTATTTAAACATTGTTGATAATCTCTAAAACTACTTAAACCGAAAATAAGTGGCTCGAATAGGCGAGGTTGAGTCTGCCGTCAGTTGCAGATGTGGTGCAAAAACTCGATTATCCCTTTGTAGTGATATACACCATTTAAGTAAATTAATTCGTGTACACAGTTTGATAACATTCGAGAACACGAACATTCCTCGCTGTCTGTGTTGAGACGACCAATTAGGTAATAGCCACCGCATCGATCCTATTTTCAACCAATCAGAAGACGGCATTCAAATTGTGCTGAGACAATTGTGACAAAGAGCGCTTTTTGATTGAGTACTTTTTGTCTTTTTGCGACGTTCAGTTCAGTTCAGTTTTCCTCCCATAATCAGGCTAGGAAATCCTACATTTTCACAAGTAGTCAAGCCCATATTGTATTACCGTATTTCCCCATGTATAAACGCCCCCTTTGTATAAGCAACCCCCCAATTTTTCGACTGTGAAGTTTTGAAAAAATATTTTATTAGTGAAACAAGTTACAAACAAACAAAATTCAAGACTCTGGTGCATCAGGTATTCTTTGGGCAAGTCTGGTGCGAGTCCTCATGGACAGCTTCTCTCTCTTCATGAAGCGATAACACCAATTTGCTGAACCAGTACAGTTTTAAACTTCTTTTTCTCTTGTTATTCTTTTGGCTTCTTGCAAAATCATCTCGGTTGTAAAAACTGTTAGGGGGACCTTCGTTTCGAATGAAAGTACATGATGAAGAGATTCGTTTGTCGTTCTCACCAGATGAAGACGAATGAAAATCGTTGTACTGCAGCCTTTT